ACCACCTGGGAGGTTGTCGCTAAAACTTCAAACTGGAAAATTCATAGTAATTATATATCTATTCAGACGTTTTCACCTCATTCGTGACTAATTTCCCAACAGTTTACGACATGAGAGACTGAGGCTCAGTGGGGTTACAATGGTTCACAGTGCTAGGTGAGTATGCCTGAGCCGAATTTCTACCTCAGTTCCCACGGGCTTAGGTTGTGAATCACGAATAAGACGGCGACTGGCATGTCGGACAGCGGGCAGGTAGCTTTTGGATATCCGTTTTCGGTGACGTAATTAGTTTCCATTAAATGGATCCTCCCTGTCTATGTAAACTCAACTCAGAGAGCTTTACCCTCCCCCTTTCATCCTTTCGTTTGCTCGATTTTCCCTGGCTGGAGTCCAGTTGCACGTGCGCACCAGGGATGTTAGCCGAAATAAGGCTACAACTTTTCACTGACAAGGCGGAATCTCTACAGAACACTGCCAAATCTCCTCACATCACCACGAATCAATAAGCAGCTTAGAGGAAGAATAGTTTCACTGGACGTGTGAAACTTCTCTCCGAGAAGCCGTCACTCGAGGAGCATGTCAATACGTGACCACGTGATTTGGTTACCGCTATTGGAGGATGATTTGCGCTATAGTATGAACTGGATACACTTGAACCCATTGGAACTTTAACAATGAGGTAAGTAGCATTATCTACACATCTGCCCTTTCCAGCCCACAGGTCATCGTTAGGTGGACCTGCGCCGACAGCTGATGGGTAGTGCTGCAACTCAAAACGTACTGATCGATTGCGCAGGTTGATAGTTTTGATTTGTAGCGTGGCCGAGAAGCATAGCAACCGAATGAGTACAGTCTCACCTCTACTTGCGTCTTCAAGCACACCATTTTATAGGTCGTTCCGACAACTGGAATTTGTCGATCAGACGTGTCCACCCTGATAACTGATTGCAATGGGTCAAAAAAGGACTGACAGTGAAAGAACTGTTCGACGGAATGACGTTTGGCAAATTTCCCAGTGGCTTCTGAAACCCAGTATCGCTATAAATGCAAAATAATTTGAGTCACCAGGTCATCAAGAATTTTCTATTGAAAATCATAATTAACCGGACTTTTCACTGTTTAAGATGTCCACCAGAAAGTGCATGCAGCGATGTCTATGTTGTGATTATCACGACCATTATGATATACTCCATTAGTTGCTCAAAAAATCAGCTGGATGGTCATGTAGTTCCACGTCGTTCAACATCGCTGACGGACGCATAGTCCGTGTTTGCAGGACACGATAGAAAATACCGAACGCGACTTAGTTTCTGGAACAGTGAATCAAGATGGAACGTGTAAAGTGTCATGTAGGGAACGAATGGTGAAGTAATGATGACAAGTGGATGTCCGCGTCAAATCTTACGCTGACACGACAGACAAAGTGAGCAACATTAGTCATCCTAGCTCGTTCCAGAAACTGTTGCGAAGTTTGAATATAGTCTTCTTTACCATGCTGCATTTCCCGCTTGAAAACAGCCCAGGGACTGTTTTGTACATCCTACTTGAATCGTGCATTTTACGACTCTGGATAGTATGCAGGGGAGACACGTCCCGCGTCCGGAACTTCACTCAGGAACTCTCAGCAGGTATCCTCAAATGATAAGTTTATTCCACTTTTCGCACTGTATCTATTTTTATCAAGTGCATGTAACTATTGTACTCATCACATTATAGTGAGACAGACATTTGTTAGTGTTTGTTACCTCCTGATAATCAACTTAATTACGTCCGAGCACTCACAATTGTCTCTCTTACTAGCATGTAATGAATACAAATAGACAGATAAAAGAATAGATACAATGCGAAAAGTGGAAAATCTCTGCGACGACGATCGCTCCTGCTTTTGTCACCAGATGGATCTCTATATTCGGTATTCCTTCTTACATTACGACAGACCGTGATTCACAGTTTGAATCTCAACCCTTCCGGCAATTAACTGAAATTCCAGGTTGCAAGCGCATCTGCACCACTGCGTATCATCCACAAGCTGATGGCTTAGTTGAACGTTTTCACAGACACTTAAAAACGGCCATCAAAGCTCATCAGCAACCTAACAACTGGAGTGACCTGGTCCCCCTTATACTGCTTCATTTACGCACTACGTTTCGTTCCACACTACAATGTACACCAGCCGAGTTAGCCTTCGGTGAATAACTAGGAATCCCAGGACGGTTTCTCGCTTCAGCAACTAGTTTTCCCTTTGATTCATTAACAAACCTCACCCAACTTAAAACGCTTATGTCGCGTCTACACTATCATTCTCCACCAACGGCTTACAAACCGTCCTGCGTTTCTCCTGATCTCCCTAATTGTGCGCACGTTTTCATCCGCTGTGACCGCGTCAAACACCCGTTACAACCTCCTTAGGAGGGTCCATTCTGTTGTATAAATCGTCACACCAGATACTTCACCATACTTCATCCATTTTTGTTAACGCGGCTACCACTTGCGTAACGCGGCAGGCTTATGGAATTCAACAGATCAGGTCAAGTTGTATTCATGTTCGTGCAAGCATCAAACACGAAGGGACACCCCTCTCTACACACTGAACACAATAACTAGGCCTACAACTAGGGTCAACACACTCCCGCGCGCACAGGACAGGAAGTCAACAGAGCTCCGCAAGTCTTCACGGACAACTACGGAACACATGTAGTAGTTATACTACAGAGAAGACAAGTCCCGCGTCCGGAACTTCACTCAGGAACTCTCCACAACCCGAGCACTAACAAGTGACTTTCGGAAAATCTACAGTAACACCGGGCCTAGAAAGTAGCACAACTCTCGCATGTTTCCAAGCTTGATCCCAATAATGAATCTGTATTTATTTACTTTACGTGATCTGCCAATCCGGTCCTCTTGGTTGGTCTGTCGAGCGTCAGATAGTTCCTCCCCGGACAATTCTCTTTCAGTTATTTCGTTCCTTTCTAATAATGGCATGAATAAATTGGCTGGAGACTGTTTTAGAAAAACAAAATATTACGTAGATGGTGCCCGCGTTAGTAGTGAATAGTAAATAGTAGTAAATAGTAATGGTAATATAAAGTATCATCACCCGAGGAACCAGTCATTATGTGACCACGTGATGTGAATTCCGTTGATGAAGGACGAGTGATGCTGTATTCTAAGTGCGAGGTAATCGCACTGCTGATCAGCCTCTGGCAGCCAAATGGCTAAGCGTTCAAACTACTTGCAGCAAGGCCGCTGGTTCAAGACCTCCTGGAATTTTGTGAGGTGCATTTCGCTGATGGTTCCCAATGAGGGCGAAACAGCTTTACAGCTTTTCACTGCTTTTTCACATGGATCGGCTTTATCCACAGAATGAAATCTTCACTGAAAATTCCGAGTGTACCTATAAGAAGCAACAAAGAAATTTGTGGAGACTTATCGAAGCTTTTGAACAGTAGCTACGGATGTACGTCAGTTTTCTGGTCGGAATATGAGGTCTAGAGTCTCAGTTGCCAGAGGACACCACAGCAGACGTTTATAATCGACAGACACGCATCACTAATGAGCGTTTTGTCTTTCGTAAACTCATAAAAATCACCAGCTAAAATAGTCGTGAATTCTCCGGAAAGTTCCACAAACAGCCCACTACTCATTGAGTCCAATTCAAGTAGCTATGTCCACTTAAGTCACACTTCTCCTGTATCCTTAGAGTGTCTGTTCACGTGATCAGGATTCTAAAATTTTTCCCACTAAGACTTGTCGGGCACAACATAGGAGATCAAAATGACTTGAATCTGGTCTCAATTAAACGAGTTTGTTTCAGACTGTGCACCTTAGAATTGCAAAAATTCTAATTGGATCGCCATAGGATAAAAAACGTCTGCATTAAAAACCCATTCGAAAATAATTCAAATTTCTTAGGTTTCAGTCCTGAATTTTGGCTTTGATAGTGGATTTCAGTTCAAGAACAACCCTCCAGAGAAACCCGTCCCGACAGTAAAACTCAGGCTTTTGCCATGGGAGTGGTTGTGGGTGGGTAGGGGATGAATAAATTTTCCTTGATTTCCAAATAATACTTACCTCATTGAATGATCCAAATGGGGTAGCCTGACTGTTTACTGTCAGTCAGCATGTTTGACTGAGTTGACAGCTGATTACACGAAGAATCAGCGCTAATCAACATTCATCAGCTTTACGAACCTCCCAAAGGGTCTCCTGAAGCAAAAACCACTCACGCAGCTTTACGTCCATCAGATGAGTCTGAGTTTTGAGAGTTGCCTACAAAATACACGTTTCAATCCATAGTTTCTCCGTTTCATTCGGAACAATGTGAGTCATCAGTGATGGTAGAATGATCCATAAATCCAGCTGTCATTTAGGCAAATAGAATGGTATCCGAATTAGCGGAAGTTATTTGAATCATATAACAGCTCAAGGGGGTACCGTAAGTTAAAATGGTGAGTTTTATCACATGTATGTTTGTGAATACAACAAGTCAAGCTTAAGTCATTTTATTCTATTTTTGTTTAGATTGTCTACTTCAGCCTGGTTTCCGGTGCTAGGCGCACGGTGGTCAGGCAAAAATAAACATAGTCGAGAAAGCGGGTCGATTGCCAGACTTGTTAACACATGAGCGCAACAGCTGGTCATGAGTTATGTTCGATGCTTGAAAGCTCCATAAATTACATCTATGCTCTCACGTAATCCTACGGGACATAAAACCTACCAGATGTACACGCACGCAATGTAGCCCTTTAGATACCTTGTAAGTGTGGCGCATCCAATTTGCGTCACTGTGTCACGGCAGCAGGAGTAGTAGCGCGTAATTATTTCGCTCGAGGCAAGATTAAAGGATAAAAATAAAAGTTTATCTCCACCTACCTGAGAGTAAGAAGAAGGAAATGTCCGGGGTGAAACGCCAGCCACAGCGGCGACGTCGTTTGTTTTCAGTCATCTTTTACAAATACAAACACTGTCAGAGAAATAGAACTTGGATAATCAATTGGAAAATGTTTGGGACCGATTGGGAAGTCATCGTTTCAGAGGAGTTTGGTAGACAATCGGTGGATATATTGCTGGGCACCGTTTCGCCTTTGACACAAAAGCTTCGTCAGGCCAAGTGAGTAAGTAAGTTGGTTGATTGGGTTTTGAGGCAGTCAGGGAACCAATCCGTGAGATTCCTTAGGACTAGTGACCTGATCAGTGCTGAGTGTTCAGTCTGATGTTCCTGTTTGTTGATTAGTGGAGATGACTAAGGTTTACGATAGTTTATGATTAGTGGAGATGACTAAGATTTACGATGAATACGGGGCGTTAGTCAAAGATTTAGCAATGGTAGTGCATACTGTAGACACTGGGCATAGGATAGATTTAGAAAATGTGGACATCTTGAGACGGGGGTGGGGTGCAGTTATCAGCAAAATGGCCTGGGCCTAGAAGTACAAAAATTCAAGTAGAACATAAGGTTGACGGAAACCCGGGGACTGCGCCTACCTGATGAGGTCCAAGAAGGGCGAAACCGGTCGTGGGCTGTCGATGGATTTTCAGCAACCTTATGAGTAGTACATCACACATATACAAGTAGAGTTAGGCTCAATTAACCAACCTACCCCAATCCCCAAACCAATTGTCCCAGCACCTTGGACGAACACAGGTGAACGAAATCTGTGAACGACCCCAAGAGGAGTTTTCCATTAAGGTGTTCTAGGCTGAAGAAACAAGGACGAAAAATCCGGGGTCATCATAAAGGCGAATCCCCTTTAACCAGTCTATCGTAAATCTTAGTCATCTCCACTAATCAACAAACAGGAACATCAGACTGAACACTCAGCACTGATCAGGTCACTAGTCCTAAGGAATCTCACGGATTGGTTCCCTGACTGCCTCAAAACCCAATCAACCAACTTACTTACTCACTTGGCCTGACGAAGCTTTTGTGTCAAAGGCGAAACGGTGCCCAGCAATATATCCACCGATTGTCTACCAAACTCCTCTGAAACGATGACTTCCCAATCGGTCCCAAACATTTTCCAATCTATTCAGGGCTTTTTAAACAGTTCATAAATTTGGCTTTATGTTCAAGGCATCGCACTTGGTAAACATCTTAGGAAATTAACTTGCGCGTGTAGCACACTTGGGAATTTGCAGTAGGACCAACTGCGTACGCGGTGGTTTTAGCTGTTGGGGGAGACTGATGGTTGGTTAATTTTGTGGTTAGTTTGAACATTTCGAACTTCCTATGTAGATTTGGAGGCTCCTACAAACTGGCGTCATTAAGTGGTAAGGTACCAAATGGTTACCGTGAGCCTATTCGTGTTGCATTTAATGCGCAAATGAATCGCCAGCATTTTTTATCGTATCCAAACTTAGTAATGAGCAAGGACAAAGGATATCTGGATATCTGGACAATGGTATCATGCAACACCTACAGTTGAGCAGTAATATGGACCAGACTTTGTCCAGTTCACATTTTAACAGTCCCCCAATAAGGCCACTGGAAGGCTTTGAAACACACGAATCTAACTGATCAGGGCCATGCCGGGAGTTGTCGGATGAGCCATTGGTGATGAGTAAGTAGATAATGTGCCCTAGGGACGGAATGGATGAAACCGGAAGGTAAAAAGCACAGACATTCACTACTAGTTCTGTTTAGGTGAATAACTTGTCTTCCTTAAGATTGGTTTAGCAATTACCGTGATGACAAACTGGATTGGTTCTTCGCGCTTTGAACGAACACACCAGCCAATCAAATTGACTGATCGATCTAGTAATTCCCATCGATCAGCTGATTATTGCTCAGGTGCACCAAAGATTCTGTAGTGGCTGTCACTCCCAAGATGCGCAGATTATAACTGTAGCCATAGTTGTCTGATCAACCCTTTTATCGTTCACAGGCAGAGAATTGAGTAAACAGAATTTTTTTCACAGGTGTGATCTATCATTTCATGCGCTTCGGTCTGAGTCGCTAAACAAAAACAAAGGTATCGCGAAGCCTCGCGCCAACTGGAAGAATTTCATGTGCAACTGGGAAAGGTGATAGCATTATTGCGAATTCTTAGATTAAACTGAAATGCCCCATCTCAAGTATTGTTTACATGATGGTCAGGTGGTCGTGGAAAGTGGTGCTGATGGGATTGTCACGTGATGCAGCCTTCGATCATGGCTACTAGCGTTTGTTTGTTTTATTATAGCATTCATGAAAGATTAACAATGATAAGTGTCTACAAGCCAGCGCGCCATTCACCCATGAAGGAATGTGCTTGACAAGTATAAAAACCAAGCAAGCAAGTATATATATATATATATACACTATTGCGATCACTAAGTTGTCGATATGGTTTTATTTTCTAGGGAGAACAGCTATACAGACGAACCATTTCTAGTTGGTTATTTGAGGCTTTTCAGGACCCTGGAGAGAGTAAATTTTACGCCAAATCATGGATAAATTCTGCACATAATGTTTCGGCTAAACTCCTAGCCACAGAAAATAAAAATAGGTCGTCCTTTTACATTTCCGACCTGCAAACAAGGTGCGGTGTACAAGCCTAATGAACCTTTTTGAGCAAAGAAACACAGTTTATATGAACGCTCAACTTAGTTTGTACAAATCTACATAAGGATGAGATAGTAACAAGCTAAGCCTGTTAATGCTTTCGCTATCCCATACCTTGCGATTTTATCGGGATATATCCAGCATCTTGTAGCCGACGAAACAGCTGTACAGTGCTTTTCGGCTTTTCAGCACAGATTAACTTCACGTACCGGCTAAAATTGATTTATACCGAGCGGTTGGGCGGGTGAGTAAGGATAATGGGATTATTTGAATTCAAGAAAAACTCGGACCCCGTAGACCCTCGTTGTTAGTTCATAGTTTGTTACATAAACTAACGGTACTTTGCGCAACATAAATATTTTATATCTGACTTTGATTTTTCTTTCCAAGCGATATCCATTTCCGTCGGATGGTCGGTCCAGAGCGAGAGAGTGGACTGTTTTTAGGAAATTGGGCGTGTGTGCAACGCTAAGAAACTTTTTATTGAATTCACAAAAAACAGATTCCGACGTGATTCCTCTACAAGGATAAGAATTTTCAGATTACGCGAAAAAACCTGAATCCAACATAGTATTTTTTCTCACTTTTCAGTTACTTTTCCGGCGCCACTGTTTTCTGGCCGATATATTTGATAATTTTTAAGCTTTGCTGTGAAAAAGTTCAGTGTGTACTCTATGCTTGGGTGAAGTCGTAAAGCTGTCAAAAACTCTAAAGTGCTTCAGAAGATGTGAAATTTCATCTAAGATCATAAAAAATTCTTCCGGGTATAAACAAGCTTCAAATTTTAAGACCATTCAGATCCACATGTAAGCATCGATCCACAAAAAAGTTATCGACCGGTCACCACCGTACGGAGGACCTGGTCAGCAGTGTAATGTTTATCCTATCTATGCTATTTTGGTAGAGATTTCTTAACCTAAACAGGACTGATTTACAGCAAAACGAAAAAATAACGAAACTCAACAATTACTGGGCGTCAAAGAGGCACAGAGGTCCTCCTAATTTTCACTAGGAGGGTTGTCAGTACTATGTAATCCATTAGTACAACAGAATAGAACCGCTAAAAAACTCAGATTCTGAGACCACATGCCTATATCTGTGGATACTTATGCAATTTTCCACAAACTGCCAACGGAAGTCTCAGAAAATACTATCTTTCATACGTGCTGTGCGCGCTGGTACACGGATGGTGTTGTCTTTTTGCTATTGTCAGCCTGCTTTGATGATAAATACTGATAACAAAAATAAGCTTTTCCGTCACAAAAATAAAGAGAACACAGCGAAATCAGCTGTTGCATGTTACTCCGGGTGTATTACTATAAGAAAATTGTGTGCTTCTGGTCTGTTTTGTCCCCCTAACAGACATTTTTGGATTTGAACGCAGCCATTTCGCTGTAGAAAATTTCTAGTTATCTAGACCTGCAACCGAATCCGACCATGTGCTATCAGTACATCATCTCCTATCCAGTCAGTTTTGCCTGTGCGTGCTTGGTCACTTACCTAGACAGAACTAAGAGGCATGTAGAAGCGTATGGACTAGCGCACCCTAACTCGCATAGATTCGGATGCGGGGATGAGTTTACAATCGAGACCGGCCTGAACGATAACGCAGCATTTTCTTGAAGCTTGGTCTTCGTTTCTTGGTGACTGCGTTCCTCATCAGGCAGCGCAAAAACGAGCGGTAAGGCGCTACGGTTCACTATCACAAGACAAAAATCCGAACTGTGTGTAAATGAGAAGGCGATCACATATTTTGCGCCGCTCTGGTGAGTGACTTGGTATAGACATCTCAGTGTTTTCCGAACCTTACTTGATTTCTGGTGACCATAATTGCTGTTGTAGTTGTTGCTGATTAGTTATTATTTCACGACGTATTTGGGCTTGGTAACAGATGACGGTTACCGAAACTTCGTGAAATGAACGGGTTTTCTTAGTATGCAAAATCTGTACGTTTCAGTAGACAATGTGCTTAGTAGAGCGCTGGGCGGGCGGTTCAGTCAGCCTGCAACTGGCTGTTGCTCGCATCTGCAAAAAGCACGCATGCATGCATCTGATTGGTTAACTGCAAACAAAAATATTTTGAAGGGTGAAAATAACCATATGTTTGAGAATCATTATGCCACTTCGGGATTAAAGTGGCACGTTTACATTTCCAAGTAGGAACAGTTGAGTCTCTCGTAAAAACTAAAGTGATTTGCAAATGACTGTAGTTCTCGTAATGCAAGCAATTTGTGTTCAAGTAGAAAATAATGTTGACGGAAACCCGGGGACTGAGCCTGCCCGATGAGCCCCAAGAAGGGCAAAGTCATGGGCTAAAAACCAAAGTGATTTGCAAATGACTGTAGTTCTCGTAAACAGTGCAATTTGTGTTCAAGTAGAAAATAATGTTGACGGAAACCCGGGGACTGAGCCTGCCCGATGAGCCCCAAGAAGGGCAAAACCGGTCATGGGCTGTCGAAGAGTTTTCAGTAAACTTGTGAGCAGTTTCCTTTATGTAAACATCTTTTAGTTGGTGATCACACTGCTAACTCAACAGCGGATTTCGGAGTTATTTTTGGTTCCAATCACAGAGGAAGATTTAACACTGTTGAGGCAGCTAAATACGTCGTTTGTGTTCCCATGTGTATGAAATCACTTCTAGCTACCTTTTTTTGGTTTTGTTATCCACTTCGGCGTGCCTATTTTCCAACATTTGTCTGTCATGGTCTGTCACGGTCATAGCGGTGCCTATTTTCTAGCTTTAATCACCAGCTACCATGCTTTTCCTCCGTATTTTAGCAACGCATTCATCCTTTAGTGCCAATGGAGTACAGCATAGTACACTTTATTGTAACTTAGATCACACGTGAAATGTGAACGGATCCCATATGTAATACATACTCCGCTTGTGCTTAAAGAAACATGAACTGCTTGCCCTGATCCTGCTAGAGGCTACGGGCTGGGATTATGAGTACATCGTGCCAGGTGGGCGTGGGTTTATTTATTCACGAACTCAAACGAATTGGGTGCAATGAATTCAATGAAGAATTAAAGCATAATTTCCGAAAATTGCTGCAGTCAGACAATATTGTACTAGCTACTTGCTCGACAATGGACTGCGGAAATCGTTTGAATTCGAAATCAGACACTTCTTTCTCTCTCCTGGTTTCCATAGCCTTAGTCTGACTTCGTCATTAATCTGTCTACTACATGAGACAAACTGATCAGGATAGTGACTTTCCATCAGAGTGTTTGTAATGCTTTCCAGTTCGTGTTTCAACCTGTCAACTAAGCACACTTTTCCTTCCCTCGAAGCCGAATAGCGGGCGATGTTTATTTTTGCCACAAAGGAAAAAATCACCAGAATTTGTAAACTGTCCACTCCAGTTTGTCTTGTGTCTTCTTTCATCGATTCCCTTGAGCAGCAGTAAATCCAGAAAGGAGACCTGGTTGTTCGCCTTCATTTTCATGGTAAAATCAATGACCATAATTGGATCGATTTGGACCCTATGTGAATTGCGGTCTTCGTCGAAAATGCGAAACATGTCGTCAATACATCTCTGGTACTGGATAAACTCCGACGAACATCCCATCAGTTTTTTTTAGCAAGTTTAGCCATGTAGAAATCAGCAAGTAGTGGGCCTAGTAGTGATCTTATGTCCTATTGATTATATGGTTTAATTTTCGCCACGTTTTTATAGATTACTTAAAATCAGTAGGGCAAGATTCCCAATGCGCCCGATCGTGGCTATCATCAGTTCTCTTTACTACGGGACGGTTCAGTGGCCGGTTAAACTGCTTTAGCTTATTCGACCACAACGAACTCACCACAGCCTGTATGAAGCATTTCAGGTCGTGAACTGTATGACAGAGTAACTTCAACCAAAGAACTGGTAGGAGATATATCGGAATTCCTCCAATACTACGGGTAAATTGACGACACGCGCGAATGCGTTGCTACTTGCATGTTTCCTACGGTGCAGCACTTGTCTCAGCGGCCTACAGAACGTTGCTCGAAAGCTCGCCATCATATTTACAGACAACATTCAAGCTTCTATTCTTGCTCACCAAGTCGTCATGGAGCGCGTCGTTGATCGGGACACGAGGGATCGCGAAGCACGCTCTACAAAACCGGTCAAAGCAGTTCGATTACATAGTCTTGTAATTGTCAAGCTGTTGCCATGCGTCAGCTGACATCCGAACTATCTGAACAGAGAAAGTTTGACAAATCTACCCAGCTGAATTGACCTGCTGTTCATCTCTCATTTAACGTAAGCCAAGCTATTTCTACCACATAATCCAGACATTTCGCTGTTAGATGACAATTATACCCACTAGCACGCAGATTTTTCTACCCTCACATCCACCTTAACGTACTGGTTATAGGTCCACACCGGTAAGAAGACGGAACACCGGAAACCCGTGGTTATCTAGAATCCCTTCTCCCAGGGCCGATATGGCAATCTTTCGGCACACGGTTGACCTACAGTACCTGCGTCTTCCTTGTTTCCAACCTGTTCCAATATGCACGAAAAAACTTGTGAGTCCCTGCACTGTTGCCAGAGTTAGCGCAGTGGTCGAAAGTGAAACCACATAAGACGAGTGGATAACTTTCTGGTAATTGATCGTTTGACCACTTCAGAAGCATTCCATTGAGGCCAGAGATTTTTTCGTTTAGGATATGTCCATTTCATGTCGGTAACCTAGCTTTTTCATTGCTGACTAGTGCGAATGATTTCGCAATTCGCCAGTTGATGACTAACCGTATTTAAAGTCTGGTTCTGTCGGAATATCGGAAATCTCCCGTACCACACAAACCAGATCCCCGTCGGGGATCCCAAGCTCCGGTGGTGCATCATCGGCTTAGTTACTAAAGAGCAATCGCTGTCAAGAAATTTCAGCAAGCTCTGGCAGAGCGGGAACAAATCATTCCGGAAGACTTGCTAAATATACAGTCGACTATCGCGCGCTTCCAACCTGTCCGTTTCAAACCACCTACTGGCTGGCTGTCAGAGATCCGAGAGAGAGAGAGAGATCTGCGGGTAAAGCTTTATTCATGAGGCCCGACACAGCTACATCTAATGCTGCTTTTGCGCAGCCCTTGAGAGGAGCCATTGAATTTACCAGTCTACCTACTCTAACAGATCTTAGCACGCGCTCAAAATCCTGGATGCGGTGCTGAATAACTGCAGCCTCGAAAATATACGGTGATGGGATGTTCACCTTCAGTCCAGTGTCGGCAACCAGCACGCAGAATCATCTGGGGCCAAGAGTAGCTGAATAACTGCAGCCTCGAAAATATACGGTGATGGGATGTTCACCTTCAGTCCAGTGTCGGCAACCAGCACGCGGAATCATCTGGGGCCAAGAGTAAAAAACAAGTTCAATACAACGACAAAAAATCCGGTTGCGTAAGGTTTCAGACTCACGGTACTCAGACATGACGTTGGGTTCTTGTCAAGTGTCAACCGAACACTTGGCACGAACGAAAGGATGCAGCTGGGTAAATAAGTAGACTAGATACCTGTAGATACCAGTACCTGCTAACTGTCAAGGAATACAACGGGTAACTCGCGTCATTAGTAAACCTAACCATAATAGTGGAATCATACACCTGTGAAGTTTTGTCTCTTGAAAAACAGGGGATAAGGTTGAACCACACCTCAAATTACGGCGACTGTGTTCAATGTGAGAGTGAGCCGGCTCCAATGATGTCAAAACCGTAGCCACCAGTGACCAGCCAATATCAATTTCAGCTGCACCAAAGGAGCCATTGGATAGTATTCATTCCAAGGCTATCAAATCTGATTTCCTGCAAGAGGTCATGAAAAGTGCTCCAGCTGACGCAAGACGAATTCAAATCTTGCTTTTTGTTATGGGCCTAGCTTTGAGACTTTTAGTGATGAGACAGAATTTCGTCATTTCATTTACAATTGCTGTTTCATTTGACATAACTCCAAGGCGAAGAATAACCCCGGTAGCCGATTGAACCATCTCATCATCATCATCATCATCGTAAGCGACTGTAAAAAATGAAACCAGATGTAGCTGTTAGTGCTTAACTGCCATATTATTCTCGATGGCTATGGAAAACTTTTGAACGGTTAGCTGTGAACTTATACGTGACCATAAGTGTGGGTATAGAGATCACCGAGTACATTTAAAGGCTTCAGGGGCAACCCTCTGCAGCCAGAGATGAACATAAAACTCGCGGCTTGCAAATCTGAAGATATGTACGGTGTTGCTCAAGCATTCAGCGTAACATAAATATGTGGTCAGTGAAGCACTAACCCTGCTTAGTGCTCTCGGATTTACGTTCCACGTGCCGGGACTAGGCATTACGGTATCATTGAACCCAGTGGCCGCGTTATGATGGGTCTAAGGTTTATTCGTCTATAGTTACCTCGTGTACTCTCTTTGAATAAAGGTTATATTGAACGCATTCTTGTTTCCAAATTCGTTCAAACTATTTAGAACATGAAGATGCGTCGCCAGTTTTAATTAACAATGATGGAAGCCCATCTGGCCCGGTATCTCGGTGGGGTTTCAAGACAAAAGGGCATGTCAGAATTTCATCAAGTGAGGGGGATGGTTCGGTTGGAGGGCGTGGAGGTTGAAGACAGTGGCTAACTAAACTGCTGCTGAAAATGTTCTACCCATCCATATATATGCTGACCTTCACTGCATATTAGATTTCCAGTGTTATCATAGATTGGTTAATCAACAAACGGTTTTCTTGGTAGCTTTTTGGGTTAGTTTGAATACAATGAGTGCGTTCTCCGATACTCTAGCCTTCTACATTGCTTGGGATTTCTTTTTCCATCATATTTTTCCATCCGGTAACAAACTTTGTTTGAGTTGACGTCTAAGAGACCGTCTTGAACCTGGATTGGACAGATCTCGACAAATACAGTCATTTGCATATCAACTGAGTTTACACGGAAGACTCAAATAAATCTCTCATGATATTATTCAACTGTACCAGGCCACCTTGAGATACAGTTAGCAGGAGATTTAGTTGAGTCTCCCAGGTGATATGCATTTGTCGAAAGACAAGACTACTTTGGTGCGGACATGAGGTGCAGTTCTCTTCTGTTTCCAGCGTTAAATACCCAAATTAAAAAACCCTTTGCAGTTATCGAGGAGGCATTCGACCACAGCTGCAGTTGATTGATCGTGGTTGAAGAAGGACGAACTTTTCAAGTGGAATCCTTTGGGAACTGAAGTGATTTATTGTGTCTACCCAAGCAAGCGTCTTTCCAGAAGGTCTGGCCACTTGAGAGTAATCAGCTGCTATTCCAGATCGAAGCTTTATGTTTAACGTCATCAAATCTAAGGTTCATAGGCGTGGTACTTATCAATTTCTTCACGAGAACTGTGAAAAATTAGGGGAATAACACTTGATTGCTCTCAAACTTTCCGATATTCTAAGAAATTCATCACATGAATTAAAACAAGCGCTCACTTCAATTCATGTTCACCAAGGACGCGTGGGTGGTTATTGGCTTAGGGGAGCTGCAGCGAACGAAGAAATCCGTTAAGCAAAGCGGAACGGGACTGATCCTGCCATGTGCATTCAGTGAATCCTAAGCAGGACAAGAGAGAGTGTATCGTTTTTCTAAGCTAACCACATCATTCTGTGTAATTATTTATGAGTGGTATGGACAGACCGATGGGAACCCCTGACAGTCTTTTGCCGGCTCCATCCAGTTTGAAGCTCATCGGAGTGGAAAGCGTCATGAAAGATAAATTCGTTTGATAGATTCACTCAAGATGGCTAGTAAGCACATCCCTAAAATTGGGATGGTTTGCTGACGAGGTAAACTTACTTGCAAAGTAACTTGGCATTACCGTGAGACTCAGCTGAATCTCCGGTTTATGAACTTAACGAAATATGCTGCCCAAAGGCAGCCACAGGTTTCAATTGGCTTGATATTCGAGAGAGGTTCAGCCTGGATTCAGTTGCGTTCACAGGAGCCCAACTTAAAAATCAGCATAGTTCACCATTTATATTAAATTTGGTGCTCGGATAGAAACCGAGGTAGATGTGAACTCGGAGACTGCATGTACTGATGGGCTTCAAAAAGGGCAACAACGGTACCGCATTTTCTAAGCGTTTTCAGCGAACACATACTTAGTGTTATGAAATGGAGGGAAGTCATCTATTCTTCCCAGTTTTTTTCATACATATGGGGGTGTGTTTTAGGCTCTCCTGTTGTTTTTTTCACTAAAAGTTGCCAAATGGTCCATCTGTAAACTAGACAGTAAGTACTGATCAATGTTGCTTATTAGGGGAATAACACAAGGTTACGGGCGGAGTTTATGACAGTCGTTAAGCAACAGAGCAGGCCTCACTGGTATATTTTCTTTAATGGTGGTGAGGATAGTGAGTTGAGTATTATTACATAAAGTTGCTGGGGGTCTTAGTCAGAAAATAAAATGCCCGGAATCACAAGGGAAAAGTATCAAGTGCAACTGGGATTTGTTAGTTTGCGTCAGTATTCACAGGATTTTTTGATTGGTCCGATTGATGCTGTCACATCTGTGGGTTGGTCGTCAACCGGTCGTATTACATAAGCAATAGTCAGCGACCAACTAATCACAAAGTGAATCAAATTCATTCAGAGTGAAAACGACACAGACAAATAGTTTGTACTAAAACGCCCAGGAATAGCTAAATCATCTGATAAAGGTGGATTTTTGAAAGTTGCGATGATAAATGTACCTAATTGCAGGTATGGTATCGTTAGCCTGTATGCAACCTGGAAACGCGTATCAGAATAATTGTGCCAACATCACGTCACATCTTTTTGCAGCCTATGCATTCTTAATGAAAAATGTGTGGCGAGAAAGTGAGATGACAGCGGCGAACTCGAAGAAAAGCATTCAGCTCATTTGCACACCAAAAAACGGAGACAAACTTGGTCGTACAAATACCGGCTAAATCTCTCAAAAAGATGGGAGTCGGAGCTGACAACAGAAAAAGCGAAAGCAAATTAACCGTGGGGAAAATACACCATGCTCCACCCTGCTCACCTCCTGTTGGTTGGGAGCCTAAACCAGAGTGTGAACCTGTTATTAATTACGAGTTATTGGAAGCGTTGGCTGCTCTATCTCCTGGTATGTTTCGCTTTCAAGTATTGAACAAATCCATCCTAACATAAAACCGGATAGCTTATGAGAGAACTTCATCTATGGCGCGGTCATCCTCCCATGGGCACCATTCCTGGAGAACACGCACAGTGATCCGTGCCTGAGGGAACAGATTAGTCTATGATGATATCTGGTAGTCGTTCAAAGACCTATGGCATCTGTTTCAAATTTTCGTTCCTTGTAACAATATGAAGTCTTACTTATAAGTATTATACGCAAAACTCATAGCCCATCGCTTGGTAAACATTACAAATCCAGAAACAGTTGGCCGCTTATTCAGGGGCAGTCGGATACCTAATCATCATCATCATCATCATTGTCAGCTGTAAGAACCGCCTACTGGTCGTACACTGGTTGTAGCTGCCACAGTTTCGTTCACCGATGATTGGGGGGGGTAGGTAGCTGCGCATTGCACGCGCGAGCTGGTAAATTGGTGCATAAATCCAGCACTGTCAGTGAGTTGTCAAGCGGGGGTGGGGGGTGGAAAAGGAGCTATGCATTGAAGGCAATAGCTTTGATGCATGAGCGCCATTGAGGGCGCGACTGGGCCATGTCTGATAATGTCTAGCCATTGATGTGGCCCGTCTCGGGGTCCCCATCCAGGAAGACGGCAGCGACCAGCGCAGCTGAGTTTGCTGGTAATGGCTTTCATACTTCGCTGCCAAGTCATTGTTTGACCGCCTCTGGCTCTCTTCCACCCTTCACATGGTTGGGCGAAAAGAGCCCTTCAAGGAAGTCGGTCGACTGGCATACGCAGCACGTGGCCAAGCCAGCGCAACCTATGCAGTGTGATCAGTTCATCTATCGAGGGTGAGTTATTTCTCCCGAATACCATCCGACGAACTTCAGCACTGCTAATCCGGTGTTCCCACCAGATTCGGGCAATGCTCCGAAGACATCGATGGTCAAACACTGAAAGTCTGTTGACGTCCTCGGCGCGCAGCGGCCAGGTTTCTGATCCATATAGTAATATGGAGCGCACCGCAGCATTGTAAACCCGACCTGAAAAGAACGAATTTGATCGTCTGTCCCGATTGCTGTACGAATCACTAACGAGGAAATGAAAGAGAATGAGTGAATTGGCCCATAACGTGTTCTTTTTGATGATGTCAGAGAACAACGTAACCAGGGTGGCTAGTGTACAGTGTCACAAATTGGACTGATTGTCCTTAAGGTGAACATACATACTGTTTATACAAAATGTTGAGTAATATACCTTTTGCGTCATGCCTCAAAGTGAACGAAACTGTTCAACTCACGAGAATACTATTTCGCATTTATTGGTTGGTTGAACGTGTGTAGTGAAAGTACTTCTGCAGTGAGGAATGTAAAAGACTAGTCAAGCAGAACTTGTAGGAGTTCACGGCATATTGTTTCCTGATGAGTTCGAGATGCCTGGCACCGGAAAACCTCGAAGTTTTCGATAAATGTTGTTATTTCTCATAGACTAAACATCCGTTTTTAACCGGGTCAAATTCAAATACATTTGTTCTAGAAAGAAGTCCGTTATACAGATGCTGTTGTGATTTTTATCTTGCCGCAACGAAATTTGCAGCTTGCGACGCAAGCCGGTCTATCATGTTTCCCTTGTTTGAAAGGTGGTCCGTCCATTATCTGCCAAACGTTAAATTCTGTATTTGCATAACTGGGATAAAAGTCGTTGGATACTTTTTTACCCAAGACAAACCAGATAAACATCTTTAATGCAACAATGGACCAGTAGAGACCACCTTTGTTAGGAATAAGGCTGGGAAATTCTGTTCAAACAGAACGTGCGGAATACTAAATGTGTCATCTTATCATTGTTCGTCGATCTGACAGCGGATGGCAATTGTGAACTATCCGTGAGACCGCTACTTTTCTGTGCGACCAAATTGCACCGATTTCTCAAATCGTATCTGATGGTCACTAACTGGTGTAAGTTGTTAACAATCGTGCAATTCTGTATCGGTCCCTTGGCTTCCTGCTCCGCCCACTATGTTACATCAAAAGTTACGGTAGCCCTACACAGCCCTTTATGGAGACCAAGGAAGAAATTTTTACAACTGTATTTATGGGGTAGTCACATAGTGTTCTACAAGGTCGTTCCAGAATCTCCGTGAGGGGACGAGAAGCGTGAGTCACAGGGGATCGACTGGTATTCTGACCAATCAGGGCATGCCTTCGCTTGGTCCGTGTCCTACACTGACACATCCGTCCAAATGATGTGATGTTCGGCTATTAGGAACGGCTGGACTGCGAACATTAACACCGCGGAAAAACCAAAGATTAACAAACTGCTTTTAGGAAACCTGAGTGCTTTGTGGTCTGCCAGCCTTTATTGTCTGAATGATCTAGGTTATGATATGTTCCGGTAGTAACAAAAGCTTTGGGTAAAATATCTGCCCTAATCGAGGAGTTGTCAAGTAATTATTCCCTCATTTGTCAACCGAACAAGTTGCACATCTCACCAAGTGATTAAAATACTTCCCGGTGAAATTCGCTCTACTTCAGACACGATAAATAACTCTGGAAGAAGAACTGGAACGTCGACCATCGCTCAAATCACACACGTTATCATTGGTTCCCACGTACAGCACTATAATGCGGGAAAATTCGAAGATCAACCGCGGAAACTGTGAATGGTCACTCCAATCAGTTTGAATGGATAAATGAGTGTCTTACAAGCCACTTCTGATCATTCAATATTTTCCGTCCGGACATTTGGAAATAGAGTGAAGAATGCCCTAAGTTCAATCTACAAAGTATTACAGAAAAAATGCAAGTTAAGAGTGGGCGTTGAATACACTGGCAATTTTGTTNAACTAGTTATGGCAACTCTTTTCACCAGAGAGCTCTTTTACCAGGTTGGATTGAAAGTTTTACGTCTCGCAGCCCTTACAAAATGTGGGGTACTTTAGAAACCGCTCAGCCTTTCGTCTGATTGTGTTGCCCACCAAAATCTGTTTGTGGCCCAGATATGAAAAGTGGAAAGATATCCTAACAACTTTCTTTTACTTCAAAGAACTGGATAAAGTCTTTATTGTCATGAGAAAGGGAACTAGGATTTGAATACCTAAGCTCGAGCTTTTTAAGGATGATTCGAAGAACTGACTTAGCAAGCAAGGATGAGCGCAATTTCTCAAGTCTTGTTCCAGAAACGGGTTGTCTACGTATCAGATCAGAATCTCTGATGAGCTACAAATTAAACTTTCGGCTACAGAGTAGACGGTTGAGCTTTTAAAGACTTGTGAATCTCTTATGCACATTTGTGATAAAGCTGAACGACTGAAACGTCAGGGGAAACATTGTTGTCTTGGTAGAGAGGAAAGCAGCAGTTCTATTCACCAGTATTTTGGAGTTTTATGAAAACGGGATTATAGGATATTGGGCAAAATGTGAAGTAGCTGTGGTCGCATTCGGAACTCCACGGTGTTGGTAAGGACTCGCCTTCTCGCTGTCACATAGAAAGTGAATATAAGCAGAGTAAACCTTCTTTTAAAATCGACATAGCTTTGGCACTCGCGGAAGTTAATCAATCACGCCTACACCAGGCGACTGCGAAAACACATTGGCTGGTTTCAGTTATTGAGGATGCATTCATTTGACTTTCATCTGAACTCACGGATCAGGTGCACGATTCGCTACCGGCTGTGCTATTCATCTAGTTAGATAGTTCCGGATAACTGGTAAGAAATATTCTTAGTGCTCATGATGGAATTTGAGGAACGTGCTTGTAATATGAACCCAGAGACGAGTGCACTGTGTACACAGGAAGGACCGGGGCAGCCTCCCATTCACTGTTCCAATGCGCAGTGTTCCGTCTAAATAATCAACTTTCTTATTGGCACTCCGTCTAACACGATGGAGTATGTGTACATCGATAGCAAGGGATAGGCTTTTCACTAGATTGTAGCAGAGCCACCCTTCTAATAAAACGTCTTTTACTTTTAGAAGTGGTAAGGAACGTCTAAGCTCAGTATTATTCTGTGTATGTATATTATGTTCTATGAAAATTCGCGGTATACACAATAGCTGAAAGGAAGTGGATGTTAGTAAGTAACAAAAAGGAGCACGAAATGCAATGGTCCTTTTGTTATCAGTAGCTCTAGAGTGAGAGGGCATGAGAAGCTTTTTCAAAACCACCACAGACGGAAACAAGGCGGTAGGATTTCACCATGCTTCCGGAATACCAGAAAGTTTTGGTGAAATGGGTTTTTGGGTAACTGGCACCAGAACTAGAATTGTCGTCAGCCGAGCTGGCGCCATCGGTACGCAGCTGGATAACGGTGCGTGGCCGTGTGGGCTGCATCCACTGTGACATACTTTTTAGGCATCATTGGTTTCCTTTCTTGACCGTGTTTTTCTATTTTGAAGCCCTTAGTTTATGAGCTACTAAGAATCCATTTGGTTGTAATACTCGTTGCTAGTGCAGGGGTGTTCTTGACTTATGAAAGAACTATCCCCTTGTTATCTTCTTATTTCTACCGTAGATATGTACCTGTTGTCAGGCTTCTTTGATAGAAGTTTCTGGGGTAAGTATTCACCGTGTTTAGTAAATGAGTTGGATGAACACCTTTCAACTTCAGTGTGTGGTGGTTTGTCCATGGTCTTTTGTATGGACTTTGAATACATCTTTTTCTGAGTAATTCCCCTGGTAGTTCAGTATCTTCTTCACATAAAGTTATGTTTCAAGAGTGCCGTCTGTATTCCGTCGGATTAGTACATACAAGCAATCCACATTTTGTCCTACTCTAGTTCAATTCAGCATGTTTCCCAAGAGTTTGTATACAACTTGTCTTATATTTCGTCAAAACAAAACGTCGTTAGTGAATCAAAACCAAAGTTTATGACTGTTCAGTGTTCAACGACCAGACCAGATATTGTTGATAGCGAAGGAGTTCTGTTCGTCTGTTGATACATTTGTCCACCAACTTTGAAGCAAGCAGTCGTGCAGAGTCAGGAGTTTGCATTTACTTTCATGTTTTATTGTTCTTGTTGAGTCAGGCTGCTTCTGAAGCGCCTTTGTTATGATCTCTTCGTGACCGACTGATGTGAAGAGTACAGCGACGTCTGATAAAGGAAAATTTCGTCACTTCCCAACTTAACATTCCGCAGTTTGTTTAGAAATTGCCCAACATTCTTGACGTTTTTGCACCCGGAAATCAGGTGTATTAATCTTCATTGCAGGTCGTTTTCCGGAGAATGATTCAATCCTTAACTACCGTATACTGCTTGAGCTACCGAAATTCCGTTCCATAATTAACTCTTATTACTTTTATTCCACCGGGTATTAATTTGACGACATGCTTTGTTCGCTTGAATTTCCGACATCCACTAGCGTCCAACAAAATGGTGAAAGACGCATAACGGAAGCCCTTCAGTCAAACTTTCATGCGCATTTTCAAAGATGAAGTTATTTCATCCAGCTCGGGTTCCAGGGAACCTTCTCGCTCAGAGAGCATAGATTTACCAGAAACGTTTCGTATTCATTACACACCAGTTATTTAAATAACGGAAATTTAAGCCAAATTTACCTGACTCCAAAGTTGAGTTCATTGAGTTACTCAATTAAAACGGCTTCTCTTCGAAATTCGGGAGACCACCGGTCTCAAGTTCTGAGAAAAGCTATTGGATGCTTTTTTCAACTGAATTGTGTAAATACAACTGGCTTTCACACCGCTGATCCTTTCACAGTTAATAGCCTGTCTGAGTAGATATGCACAGAAGTTGGAAAGATAGCATTTTTCGATGGAACACCGTTCTATTCTAGTGAAACTGGTCGATATGAAATGCTTCGATTCAAACGGCGTCAACGTCGATATTTATGGTAGTAGCCCGCTCATTGGGATTTTGGGGTCGCCCTACATAATAACGATGAGGAAAAACAGACTATTCATTTCCAGTCTCCTACACCATGGTGCTCAAGGGACCGGCTAGACAAAGAAATCAATCCCTATCATAGCTGACTAGGAAAATAATTCCTGGTCTCTTATTCGCCATCTGTCAGGCTGCTTTACAAACCATGAGGGAGTATAACTAAATCAACGTGGATTTGATCTTTACCAGGGAAAGAAAAGGCGCCTTCGGGTGTGGAGCTGCCTAGCGGTCAACATCAACTAAGCGGTTACAAGCTAGCAGACGAAACTAAAAACCTCATTCGTGCAGGGTTTTATGAAAAAACCAACATACTGAAGCGTTCTGTTGAAATTTCTTGGACGTTTTTCGAACAGCAGAGGATGATGAGCAAACATTGCAAGATGGTTTGGAGATTTCCATATTGGCCTTCCATCAAATGCAGAGGTGGCGCTTTAACGATTGACCACATACTACTCATGTGCTTCATCTATAGATTACAAAGTTACCCCGGTGCCTCATCCATTAATCGCCTGGCTTTATTTTGTTTCCACCTTTCGGTAAAGGGCTGTGTTTACTTCAAACTGAGACTGACATCAGTTGACGACCACCCGGATCGAATATCTCCTGCGAACTATACTTGAAGATCAAAATTTTCTCACAGTGGGACGTAACGGGACCAATATGAAGAAAATGGTTAAAAAATGATGAGAAATTGAGCGAGCGTCTGTTAGGGCCAGACAGTTGTCTGATCCTGCAACTTGTACAATAGATCATATAGTTCTGCTGAGAATGGGGACAGGAAGTCAACTAGGAAACTGTTTTTTATCGTACACGGTATTCAGAATTTTCATCCTGCGTCTCCGATAGCTCATAACACATAGGCACGAGTTTCGTGCACAGGTAACTTAAAGGGGGCCGATAATTATCGAAAATTTGGCGCATATGACTACAATCCTTAGCGCTTATTGCACTTTTCTTACTAAAATATCATTTTGTGGAACGGCGCTCATAATTTTGCAGAAAACCCTTTGAAAGACCACCCTTCTTGGAGTCCATTAAGTAAGCTAAGTCCCCGAATTCCCGCCAGCCTAATATTCTTCTTGGACAGGAAACACTCGTTTTCAGACTAAGCTGGTTCTACTGAGAAATTGAAATTAATTATTGATGGAGCTTTTGTCCATGGTATTCTTCAGCGGAATGTGTTGCACAAATATAATGAGACATCTCGAATCTTGTACCAATCGAAAGATGAAGCGGTCGTTTTCATTTGAAGAATACCAAAATCAAGAGATCCAGCCCAATCACTTGAGTCTGTCGTTAAAACCAAATCAGTTTACAAGTGAATTAAAACATCAGATTGGCAGCATTTCAGGAGTGCAGTAAGCAGTTAGTTTGAGGACACAAAACAAGGACTTGAACCCACCTCTTGCAAACACAGACTAACGAAGTTGATCGCTGCGACAACTGTGTAACTCTTCATATTTCAGATGTTGTCATGATAAACCCCTTAGGAAGACAAAAGTGACGTGGCAGTCTCAGTGAACGTTTCGAAATCACCTTGCTGTAACTGCCACTGGCTAGAGGGATATGAAACCATAGTAAATGTTTGCATCAATATCACCTTGCACCACCAGAAGCGAGACAACAAACGTTGGACACACATAGGTCTGGGGCGTCGCCAGTTCAGGGCCTACCAGCAGACTCACTGCATGACAATACGAGTTTCTTGATTGACGATCACATAGCTGTCGTTCTGTTCTCCGGGTTATGCAATTAGCAAATAGTCGTCCAGCCGGAGGAAAGGAGTAACTACTAATTACAACAAATACACGCAATCCAGCTTCCGTGCTATATATGTCGCTCATGTAAGTTTCAGCATGGATCACGTACCAGCAATCAAAATTTATCCCTACGTTTGACTGTCATATACAAACACATATGAAAAAATTCTACCCGTTTTTCACATTACGCCCTGCGACGTACGGAGAGGAATGCAAACAGTCCTTCAGGGAGGAAACAGCTCAGATCCCATCAAATGAGCAAAAAGTTTACTGAACAAACGGGGGGACGTGACAGGATGGGTGTGTTGTATTTTTTATCACCAGTAGAGGGCATTAACAGACATCCCAGAGAAAACTGCGCAGTTGTTTTTCCGCCTTCAGTTTGTTTTCTCCAGCAAGTTTTGTTCGCCCACCTACGTGGCCTGCATTGCGTGACCAGAATAAATTCTGTTCATCACGAAAGCCAAATTGAAAATAAAACAAAATTAGGACAGAAAGTTTGATTCTTCTAGGAGCGTACGGAAGAAAGCTCGGGAAATAAAATTCCTTCGAGCTATCAGTAGGAATACACGAAGACGAAACTGATCAATATAGGCTACTCCGAATAGCCTAGCTGTGTGATGCGAAGAGCACGATGAAAAATCAATCGGTCCTAACGGCAATCAGCGAGTGAGAATGATGTAGTACGCACATACAACAGGGAGCACCTTTTAGAGATTTTCGTTTGATTACTTGGAAAGACTTGTGAAAGTCAGAAGAACGTCTTAAAATATTGTGAAAACCAAGAGCTAAGAGTACAACTCAACCGGATATGGCTTAGTAGTATACATACGTACATGACGTGCTGTACCGCTAACAATGGTGAACTGCCCATGAAACTTTATGCAAGAGGCAGAAACTCAGTAATTCCAAACTGGCTATACTAAGCGAAATTCAGTTAAAGTCGTGTTCTTCCCCGAATATATCAATCTTCTCTCAACAGAGAGATTTCATAATTAAGGCTTAAAGGGATCTGTTTCAGAAAAATGATTAAACATTCTGAATTGACTCTGGTCATAATGTCAATGGTAGACCTTGACGATCCACTACCGTTCGCGCCCTCCTTCGGGCTCATCAAACAGGCTTAAGCCCCGAAGTAACATCCGACTAATTACTTATCTGAAGACTAAAGTGCACGTTCGTTCAGATAAACATTTATTTTCAGCTTCAGTTGGCAATGACGCGATATTCAGCTGAGATTCAACAGAATCACACTTTTATGGTATTTTTCTTTTCTCTTGGATATGATGCTCTACCAGTCACTGTGGTGCCAAATGCCGTCGAAACTACTCTGATTTGGAGTCACCTAGATGAGGCATCAGACTATGTGTACACGGCATCTCAATACTGTTCCTTTGTGATACACTATCAGGTAATATTGTGACATCCAAGATTACGAGGGGAACAGTTGCTAAGCAAGGTTGCCCTTAAAAAGGCTGGTGAATAATCAGGTAAACACAGCTAGAGAACGACTTGCGGATTTCAGTGTGCAGTCATGAAGAAGTGAATACGTCAAACAGGAGAGAAGTAGGACCGAGTAAGCCCTGGATTACAGTGAAGTGAATACTGCGGACGAATAGCTGTCCCCAATTTTTTGCTGATCCTTCTCGATGAGCTTCGGAGAGAGGCCACACTGTTGGAACTGAGATGTCAGCGTCAAATGAGAGGTGGCCGTTAGGTACGACATAAAACGCAACAGTGAGAAATGCACACAAAAATAAGTGATATCTCTAGGAGTACGGGAGGACAAAGTAAGTGTGCTGACTGGATGCGAGTCATAACCGCAACAAAGTGGAATACAGCGTCACTGGGTGACTGAACATGGAAGAGTTCCAGCTTAGAAAGACCGAGTGACGGGGGAAGGCTCCTTCGGTAGCTCACTTGATGGAGCATCTGTCTAGTAGACGGTTCGAGTTTACCTGAAGGTATACCTTCATGTCCACGCTACGTTCACTTCTAAGTGCAGGATCTCGATAAACTGATGTACTACTGACATGGGGGTTGTGTTGTCTGATATCCTGTCATAATGCTTTGGGCAATTTTGTGCGCTAGGGAATGAATGTATACATTCAGCTAGCAAGCACTTCGAGACATTCAACAACTTGAGTCTACCACGTATCCCAAAGGAAGAAATCGGAGACTTGCTATGCCAAGCGTGTTGTATGATAGCTAGCTGCAGCTTCGAAGGTCTTGTGTTGAAAATCAGTTGAGATAATCCAGAACAATTGAGGTTGCGCTAATAGCATTCCGCAAAGTGTTCGTGAGAAAAACGCGAACTAAAGTGTTTTAAACTTTAGTAGATGGTTTCAAAAGGTACAGTACCAGTACAGTACCAAGTTTTCGATAAAGATATTAGGTAAAGGAGTTTGGCTTATTTTGATGAAGCAGAAGACCGGCAAATTTGGTAATAATCTCTCAGTATTTACAGTTAGGAACCGAGATGAATTTGGTTCCCAGTAGTCGATGGCATTTTACATACTCGAGTTATTTTATGATGACTTTTTATGGTTTTCTATTTCACCAGTTTTGGTTCCATCTTGGATCGGATATGTTCATGACATATTTTGTGCTGTCAGTGAAGACTGTGATTTAGATGGAGTGAAGTGGATAACATTTGAAATTTCGTAGATTTGTCCCTCTAAAGACAAATATTGTTTGCCCTTTGCCTTCACGAGCATGAATCATATGTTTCAATGACATGTTGCAAAGGGAGCTGGACGTCATTGGGAGTATCCTAGAAGAAAATGGTTGTTCCTGTTGGTTTGCTTCAAAGAATGCACAAAACAGAGTCAAGACAAAACAACCGGAACGGTCAAATCGGAACGACATTCCCTAATTTTCCCTTTTTCAATAACCACCGCGATATCTGAGGCTCCTCTGGCCTAGACCATTGCCCTACTCTGACAGGCTAGCCATAACCAGCTCCAGAAAACTTCCAGGCTCTCAATCGCTCACCAGGGAGTCAAAACAGACATATTCAACGTGAAATCTTCGTTGTCCGAAAAATACCGTTTAAATATCCTAATAAGTCACGTCCACCGACAGCCATTGTTCGCGGCTCTTGTATTTCAATAAAATACATGGGATCGGGCAAACGGACCTAACCAGAAGTCTTTCGGTGGGGGTTAGACATAAGTTAAACGACACGGAATTTCGGTGCTTCACCTCATACGGCCGGCCACATTTCTAAGCGGACTAGCGAACTCCGTCAAAAGTGATATGTCTGAAGAGTCCCAAGTTGGCCAACTTAGTGGACAAAAACCTGTCGTTAATAGGAATACCTTATTCAGCTTCTTTTTATCAGGAAAGCGCTTAAGTACCGCTTTATTTGAGGAAAGCATGCCGGGACCAAGCGCGTATCCCTCCTGTGCACCAGTTTTTGGAAACGTCCATGTTCTGACGAACCTCGGCTCCTAACAACCAGGTTGTTACGAGTTTATGTTGATCGCAGGTCCTACCGTAATTGTGGGACGATTCTTGCAGAGTTTGGCTTCCTCTTAGATCTGACTGTTAGAATGCACAATTGAGTCGGGTCCCTTGACGTTGAACACTCGTACGGTGTGCTAATCTCAAGCCTACACTGACTGAAGAATTGGGCCTGTGAAATTTGCGACGCTGATTTGTGGGTCAGATCAGAAGGCCAGTAGGAATATTCGGTTGAGTAGCATCAGGGAGCTGCTGAAGTTGTCTCCAAAGACAGATATCTCTTCAGAATACTTAAGGCAAGGAGTTCGCTTGTCTGAGCTGAGCAGACAGCTAAGAATACACTCACTCCCGTCTACGCGGAAAGTGAACAGCACTGAAGATAACTAGCATCCCTTTCAAATTCCGACGCCCACGTTCGGCTCCCTCTACCTAGGCACGAACACAAACTTTGGTCTGAGAAAACGTAACCGCAATGAGTCCACGAGCTTGGCAACCGTTCTCGATCCAAGTAGCTAAAGACAGTGGAAATCGATGAAACATGTGACTGTGGACTGCGCCATAAAGTGAAAAATTGGCCGACAGTCTTCTGTTGGACGTGACCCACTCTAATTTGGTCTAGTGAGAGATTTCCATTAATACCAAAGAGGCTTAAGTAAGAGAGTATCAAGAACCTTCCATGCAACGTTAGTGGGATGTAGTCTGAAACAGCCTTTGCATCTTACCACAGAAGAGGCACAGTGATGAAAAATGAGCTTTCGGCTATCCCGATTTCACCAATAGTTCACGGAAAAGTTTATGAAGTGGGCTGGAGGTTGATACTTGGTCCGTGGTATTACTTCCACCAGAAAATAACTTAACTTCGTGGATACTCCGCGAAAAACCTTAAAGAATGATGCGTTTGCAGTAACTGTGGTAACGATTGTGATGTTTGTTAGTAAGGGGTTCAACGAAGTATTGTACTCATCCGTGTGCCAGAAATTAGTTCATTTAAAAAAGAAGAGGGTATCGGGGATGGGTTGAATTGTAAGGAGGAGCTGATGGGAAAAAAGGTGAACGCAACTTATATCTCCTGCTGCTATTTTTCTAAAATTTGTGGCGGTCGGACTCTGTAGATCGTGCAGCTTGCCACTTCAGGCTTCGATGCTTCACTGAGCGGTTTATTTCACCAAATCTGGGCAGGGCTGACCAGGGCGGAGATTCAGTGTTTAGGCAGCCTTGACGCGGTGCTAAGATGACCCGTTGCAACCAATTGAATGGTATTCTTGGGCTTCATTCACCAACCGTCGACTGAGGTCAATACAACCTAACCTTCCTTCTTAGGTGCTGTCAGTTCATCAGCAAATTAGTTAGCTTTCACTTGACCCACCAGGACACACGTTGAATCGTCATGGCGGGAGCAGCAGCTTACGACAAGCCCTACGATGCAGTCTTGGACAATGCGAAAAAGAGTGTTTGGAATTAAGGGAGTTTCCAGATGATGATCATGGGATCACGGATGATAGCTATTTTGGTAATCATAGAAGATAGCCGGTTTGGTTCGTGTGACTATCGTTTGAGTGCGACGCCTGTTGATGCCTTTTTGACTGCGGAAGACGGATGGTTAGCTGTGAACAATCTATGGAATGGAATTGGCGAGGCTATTGTTATTGTCACATAGTTGCCCCGGACCATTGAGTGTGGCGACTATGCAGCGAACGCAGACGTGCAGTGCTCCAAAATAATCGAGTTCTTTGATGACATCTTGACGTTTTTCTTTCAGTTGATCTATACATACAGCGTCCGATGAAAGTCTTGTAAAACAGGGTGAAATCATATTCAGATCTGGTGATGAGGAACTTGTGCTGCACGGACTTGTCACCTAGGCGCAGTGAGTGCATTGACAATCCGTCATTTTCAGTCGGTATCCAGCCAGTGCTCTCACGGCTAGTGCACACGGTTTGCATCCAGCTTCGTTCCCTCTCTACCTAGGCGACACCCATGCTCTTGTATCAATTAGGCACAGCTTCCCCTTTCCATTTATCTCGATAACGGCATGTATCGTAGCCTTTGTCACTGGGCAAATCGCAACCCACCCGGGAAAAGAGAAGTAATCCAACTGTTTACTATGTACCTGTGTTCGGGTTAAGTTCATCTATGGAATTGGCGAGGCTATTGTTATTGTCACATAGTTGCCCCGGACCATTGAGTGTGGCGACTATGCAGCGAACGCAGACGTGCAGTGCTCCAAAATAATCGAGTTCTTTGATGACATCTTGACGTTTTTCTTTCAGTTGATCTATACATACAGCGTCCGATGAAAGTCTTGTAAAACAGGGTGAAATCATATTCAGATCTGGTGATGAGGAACTTGTGCTGCACGGACTTGTCACCTAGGCGCAGTGAGTGCATTGACAATCCGTCATTTTCAGTCGGTATCCAGCCAGTGCTCTCACGGCTAGTGCACACGGTTTGCATCCAGCTTCGTTCCCTCTCTACCTAGGCGACACCCATGCTCTTGTATCAATTAGGCACAGCTTCCCCTTTCCATTTATCTCGATAACGGCATGTATCGTAGCCTTTGTCACTGGGCAAATCGCAACCCACCCGGGAAAAGAGAAGTAATCCAACTGTTTACTATGTACCTGTGTTCGGGTTCGAGGGGATTGATTCTTCCAATGGCCAGGCTTGCCACACTTGTAGCACCGGCTCACTCGAACAAACCTCCGCGATTCCATCTTTCTGACTGCAAGCTGTTCCGCAAGTTGGTCCAATTTGGTCTGCAATTCGTCCACTGTTGAACCAACATTGTTCTCCTGCGACTGGAGCGTGGCCAGTGGTGCCTCGGCCAATTCCCGTGCCAGATGCACCAGCTCCTTCACACTCAACCGACACTCTGAAGAGTGCAATTCAGAAGTCCAAAGGGGAGGGACAGAAAGGAGAGATTTTGCTGGGGTTCCCGCTGGACAATCGAGAAATGCCAAACCACAACTCGGCTGATGGAGTGCCACCAGTACAGGCACTCCTCCCACGAAAGCTTTGGTCTTCGCATGACACAATCGAGCCACAGAAGAATCAGATGAGTCACCGTAACACGAAGCTGGCGAAACCGTTCAACCGAAACCATGGCGCAGACGCACGCTTCTTCAGCGAAAACCAGATAATGTTGGTTCACGACTACAGTGGCGGACACCCAGCGTGGAATCCAGGACACATTCTCCGCCGGCGCGGCAAAGTGCTCTGCGAGATTCAAGTTCGCCTAGTCAGGTGTGTCCGGCACACAAACCAATCCGGACAGATGCGCACATCCTGCCCACAGGACACGGTGAATTGAGTACGGAGATACTTCTGGACACTTGATCTCGTCACCATAATGGAAAGTCGATCAGCTGCTCCGTCGAATGCCTAGCCGGTGCACACATAAATACCGATACGCTGGACAGAGAAGATAGACAAATCAGTGAGGTCACTGCAAGTAAACTACCGACTTCGAAGCTGTCAACAAACTTCAGTGGGGAGGTGTAAGGCGGAGTTCCACATTGATACCACTTTACCGTTCGCATTCAGGCGCTGCCAAGGCCAGGTAGCCTATCCCCCAGAAGGTTGGGTCACATGCCAGTCCAACAACAAGGCGAGCTCTGATGGACTGAAAGTGTGTGGCTCCAGTATCAGTCGAATGCCGATTGCCTATAGTGCACTCAGAAGGAGTCAGAATTTCCAGATTGTTGTCGCCGCATACACGACACGCTTTACAAGTGTTTTTGACTTGGTTTTTGGGCGTTACAACACGTTGGGCAAATTTGATGGTTGTTCTAATAGGAACACCAGCTTGGAAATTGCACACTGAGAACTAAGCTGGGAAAATGCCGTTGTTATGGGCGCACACATTCAAGTTGATAATATTACACCATAGAATTTACGACTGAATGGGTGATAAAACATTCCGTTCTGCGAAACGCTGTTCCAGAGCTCCGTAGTGAAACCATTTGTTCCCACGGCTATCGGCCCGATGGCTCATGCACACATTCACTGAAAACTTGATGATAATTCTCAGGACTGTTTTTACTACACGGATGGAACAAGCCTTTCAAAGTAAACTAATTACTCGCTCAAACTGAACCACATCCAGGTAATTTACACCTCACACATTCAACCTTCAGAAGTTATTGCTTCATGATTTGAGAGGCCGAACATCTGGGAGTTTAAAGTGCTCTAAAAGTTCTGCTGAGTGTTGTTGGAGCCTGTCTCAAATACCAATGCAATAAGAAATTGGGTAAAAGGGAAAACGAGCTATGACAGTAAACCATACGCTACCGGTGAGAAGGTGTAACTGAAGCGATTTAACTTTCACCGCTTTGATACTGTGACATCAGATTGACGAACAATCCGAAGTTGGAATGATGATAACAGCAGTCACTCAGATGTACTGTCTTTTCGATACCCAGCTGTCATGCCACCCGAAGGAAGCACGAGGGCTTAGATGCTGTCAAGTCTTAGACAGGAGCACTAGAGATGGGTGCCCATTATCCGCACGATGCTCTCAGCTGCAAAACCTTTGAAGTGGGGTAAAACTTTCTACGTCAAAATGTTGCATTTTGTGCCGTTTGTGCTTAGACCAAAAAACATCCTAATCTACGTTCATGTTTTCGCAGCTCGCCAAATTTCAGTGTTCACTAAAGCAACCATGCCTCTGGCTGAAAAGCCTTGTGGGATAATTTACCAGCATCGCTGAGACCCCGGGATGCCTAAACGGGGTTTAAAAGTTTGAACTGATACTCTCAACTCGAATGTCCGATTTCCTTAGTCCATCGGGGACAGGTCATAACTTTCGACAATTCAACTCCATTGTGCAATTACTGAGCGCCGTAGAGATGCTGAGGGTAGGTTCGAACCACAAACCGCCAGGTCAGGAAGTTCGTGCCTCTGCCATTAGTAGTCATGATGTGTTCTCAGTCCTGTTGGAAGGTGGAAGTGTCGGGTTGTAATTCGTCCCAAGGAGATTAATGGCCTGCTTCGACTAATTTCAGCATGCCAAATCCAGCTAACTGCATATGGGTTGTGTGATGAGGTTATCAAACAGATATATGAATGATATTAGTTGAAGCGCCTGGTTACACACACGTGGCAAAATGCTAACACTTTGCTTACTGTGATCAGTCGCTGTTTTCCTTCCTAAGTGAGAAGGGCAACGGAACAATATTTTGCGTTTCTGCTGTTTTATTGAGGGAGCAATTTCTCATGAGGTAAAATGAGTACTGTATTTCAGAGACAAGCGGAGTCCGCTAACCGATTCCAAAACTTTGCTTGTCACAACAAGTAGGACAATTCAGGCTCGGGTAAACAAACCTAGTGAGACAGATCCCAGACACTTTCCAAACCTTTTTATTTGCAAAGATGAACAGCTACCAAGTTTGCTTGTTGACGGAATTCATCTCGACAGTTGACAGTTAAGAGACATTCTGCTCATTGCGGCAAGGATGTAAACACTTTTTGCAACATGAGGGGATGCGACGATTAGCAGCGAAGGACTCGCTAGTGTTTACTTATATATACGTTGCACTGTGGCTACAACTCGGCTTCTAAACAAGAAGTCAGGCCACAAGAAAAAGCCCATTTGTGGTGGGCTATTCAATCTTCACTAGTAGTGAAAAGGAAGAAGGCCTGCACTGCGGAGTTATTTATGAGAAAAAGCCAACTGAACAGTCACAGACTATTGGACAGGGAAGCGAAGCTCTCATGCATCTTGTTTACAAAAACTGAATATCCATCCTCTCTTTAAACGCACCTTCCTGGACTTTTATGGATATTCATTGAGTGTTGCTCAGTTGCAAGCAAATGCTATAGAGTGACTCCAAAACTCCCGTAATAGATCTCACTTTTCAAGGGACGCAAAGCGGATTCACGAGATAACATACCACTCGCATGCCTCCCCATCAGTAGTATCACCGTTACACAATTTCCCCCTTTAGAGGACGTTCGCATGCCACCGATTTGCATTTACCTCTGTCATGTCGGCTTTGGCATCCGGTCTACTCAGCCGCTCTTCGGGTGTATCATGCCCCTAACGAAGCTGCGTCCCATTTACTCTTTTCGAATCGCATGCCTCCTCATCAGTAGTATTACCGTTACAGTAGTATTGAAGTATGCATATTCAGTTAAATCAAGAAGGAAATTGGGGACCTATTCCTACCGGATAGGCCCCAAAGAGGAACAAAACGATGTGGTGTGCTGTAATTAAAAAATTGCTTGTGGGTGTGTAGAACATAAATGTAGAAAACATATCAAAAAACAATCGCGAGGTTTCCTTGACGGAATGCACTACTCAGAAGGATGTTGAAAAGTGACGGACAGCCCATCAGAATTCTTATCAGGCTCACCAGAGTCCCAGAGTTCCCCCAAACTTACGTGCTATTTGAACATGAGATTTTAAGCAGGTAGCGGAATGCTCTAAGTTGGTTTTAACGGGAGACTTAACGCAGTCGTAAGATGGCTTTAGCTGATCGGTTGTACTGGACTATTGGTGCGCCGTCCACATTGCTCCTTGAAATTCTGGATCTCCGCCAGTTTTTTTTCACTTGAGAGCTCATCTATTGATTCGTTTGTTATTTTCAAACGCTTGATCAGTTGGTAAATGATGGGATGTTGATGTCAAAACAGGTCGGAAAATCGATAGTTCATCTTGCATGTGGTTGATTTTAAACTACTGTCTAATGAATACAGCATTTAGGATGCTGCTGTTGACAAATGTCGACAGAGTAGATGAGTACGAGACTGTTTGTATTTGAAAGGGAATGAAAAGTAATCAAATATTCCCTGAACTGAAAAAGTTCCGAAGGCATTAATCTGAAAAATCAGAGAGGTTTAATAGAGTAGTGTAATAACGACAGTGTATTGGCATTTTTCTGAACTCATGACCAAACCTTACATCACTCTTCACTCATGCTTTGGGTATCAAACGCACCCACTCTGGATAGATAAACGATAACAAGAATATTCTCGTCTTTTTGTGAATTCGGTACTCCACACGTAGGAGCGGACTGACGTAGAGAAAGTATTTTCATTTAGGGGACAGTCTTTGAGGCATGAATTTTCTCCGTTGCGATTCCTCCTCGAGAGAACCAACCTCACATGACCGGAAAGAACATAAATCAGGACTCTCGGAACAGCTGGTTCATCCCAAAGGAGATACCCCGCTTAGCTGGTGGAAACTGTTCGGCCGACTATCACTATACTCAGTTTTGCTCAAACGAACTCCTCCTGTTTTGACTTGGAAACTGAATTGGAAAATCTCACATCTACTGTATCAATTAAAGGCAACACAGTAGCAGATGGGGTGGAACAAGGCACTATAGCTCAGTGACTAGGGCGTCCCTCTTTACCTTGTTAGATGAGGACGCATCACACTGATACACTATTTCGTCTTATCAGTCTAACATGTTAGAACAGATGGCAAATAGTTCACAGTGACCTAGATGAGGAAAGCTGACGTCCTAAAAATCTTTTGTCCTGTTGCACTGATAAGCTTCAGTTACGGGTAAATAACTCGAATATCTGGAACAGTTACCTTAGGCATAATAGAAAATTCAGTGTTACCCACGCAGAGGCTGTCCAAAGCACCCACGTTGAATTTGAATTTGACTAGCTGAGCATGCAATACGGCTCACCTATGGATGAGGACCAGATTAACTTGTTCCATTTAGCACTTTTTTATTTCACAACGTGCGATGAATGAGCCGGTTATTTTCGCACGAAATAAGTGAAGTCCAATGCTTTATTCGATGTTAGGTTCGGACTGCATGTTGTATCGAAATGAACTAGTCGGGCGCTAAATGTGTTTGGACCGAGACGTTTGGCCGATATGTGGTCGTCCGATGGACAAAATCAAAGAATTTCTTCCAATAAGTTTCCTCAAGATAGATTCTCCACCGAATTTAGTCCACTTCAGCCCAGCCCCGTGAAATTCCATTTGAAATTGCTGCTTTTTAAGGTACCATCATGCAAATAATAATCAGGACTATAGTCTGTGTACGGAAGCCAAGAAGCAACGTTTTTGCACTGGACCTCCATGCATTCTGACATCATTTAGGCACGACATGCAGTCAAAATTGGTGATTAGGATCACCATAATATGCTTATTATTGGTCGTCTATTTGTTTGCTGAGTTGGACGTGTGATTGCAAACGTTCCAGCACCGATGGAGGTGAAATTAGCAGTGCATTTTAGGGAGTGTAGCGATAGGCCAGCGGTTGTGCGTCGAGTAGTATGTGTGCGTGTGTGTTAATGTGCCTGCTGCTTGAGGCGGAACTTTGATCACGATTGATTGTTCGGCCTGTTGGTTTCATTGGTTGGCCTGTTGTCCTATGTACTGATCAGTCAGTGACCATGTGATCTTTGAGCTTGGCCTTCCCTGCTCTCGTCCTCTGGTCGGTGTTGGAGTGACTTCTATCCCTGACCTCGCTGGGTTCCCATTTGAGGCCTTTGTTGATCTGACTTCAAGGAGTTTCTTGTTTCTGGGTTTGTCAGTTCGACAGTCGGCTACCTTTGAATATCCTGGTTCACATATTGTCCTTTGTGTGGAGTGGGGCTACGCAAATTCTCCTTAATAGCAGTGCACTTTTTCGTAAGATAATTTCACCCTTCTGTAAAGACAAG